TCTTGGAATAACCACTCATTTTTGGTCCCAAAACTCTCTCCGAGCAGGAAACCTGGTTCCCTACCGGTCTGCAAACAACACCCTTTGGAATTCACATCACCGGGGAGGGGCAGGTGGACACCTCTGGTTCCAGAGATGTGATGCTCTCAGCAGAACCTTTTGCCCTCCTGTGGGTTTCTGGGGAAGGGGAGCCTCCATCTGGGCATTTGGGAAGAAGCAAGTTAACTTTCTGGAAGCTAAATGGAAAGAAATAACTCCTGGGCTGGAAGCTGGTATCAAACAAGAAATAGATTTGCCTATCCTTGAAATTCCCCCAGCTGTAAAACATACACTGTGAGTCCCTTTGTGTCTGGCTTCCTCCATGTGTTTCTGAGATTCAGATGATCAGGGTTTCACTCCTCTGGGAGGTTGAGTAATGCCTCAGTGTCTGGGTACGACACATTTTGTTTTATCCATTTATCAGAACATTTGGGCTGTTTCTACCTTCTAACTATAATCAATAGTGCTGCTAGGAAAACTTGAGTGCAAACTTTCTTTGCAGACCCATTTTCTTTCCTTTTTTTTTTTTGAAGGGAGAAAAAAAGACTTTTAAATGAGGATTCAGAATTGCAAATTATCTTTTTTCTGCTAAAGATAAAATGATTTGCTTGCTTTGTGAGACTTGAATATTGATATTAAAGAAATTCTATGCTTCTCAGCATGGTAACACTCTTTTTTATTTTAATTTTTTTTTTTTTTTGAGACAGTGTCTCACTATGTCATCCTGGGTAGAGTGCTGTGGTGTCATAACTCCCAGCAACCTCAAACTTTTGGGCTTAAGCGATTGTCTTACCTCAGCCTCCCAAGTGGTTAGGACTACAGGAGCCACCACAATGCCCAGCTATTTTTTTTGTTACTGTTGTAGTTGTCCTTGTTGCTTAGCAGGTTTGGGTCAGGTTCAAACCCACCAGCCCCAGGGTATGTGGGTGGCACCCTAACCACCAAGCAACCAGTGCCAAGCCACCATCGTAACACTCTTAAGGACCTCAAATATATTAATTTAGAGGGAGAAGCATGAAGGCCTGTATTCTAGAAATTAAAGGATGAAAATCAAAAGCAAACATAACTTTTTCCAAGCAGCAATAACACCTGGAAATAACGGTACAGAAACAACTTGGCAAGTAGCTTTTACACTCAGGAAAAAAGTGGAAATCATTCAACGGTAGAGAAATTGTGAAACAATGCCCTCAGAGACCTATTTTTC